ATTTCCGCGTGCTCTCTCGGAGAACGCTTCCTCTCCCTCTCTTTGCTGACATTAGCGGGCGTTATGCTGCAGCTTAGAGCCGAGCGAGGTCACTTATTCTTCTCGCCGTGGTTCCTTCGGTTGCCACTCGCGGCTGCAGGCGGGGGAAAAAGCTAGACTTTTGCTTTGCGATTATGCAGCGGAATCGCAACATTTTTTAATCAAGGGGCTGTTTTCTCTATCCTCCGGGACACGATAAACAACGTAAGAATGACGAGATGGAAATTCTTTTAATCTTAAAATCGTTGCACCCCCTCTTTAACAAAACCTTTAGCTTGAGCTGCCCGCTCACCGGAAATCCCCTCTAGAAAACAAGTCAGTTTCAACTGAGAATCTTGGAGCCTTGGCCACGCAGTCTTGTGCTCTACATATGTTGGCCATGCAATGACCGGTACCGGAGGCCCCGTGTCCAGCTGCATGTTGACTGGAACTCCGCCCAGTCGAAAGTTTGCACAATGGGTTCCCTGGTGGCGATGTGCCCGACATGGTCATATGTTGCTAGCAGCATGAAGAGGCACTCTGTGCTGGCATTGAAGTTGTTCTTTTCGCGAGGCGTGAGCTCATTGATGCGCTGGCGCGCTGACCCCGTTGATGCGGTGCCCGGCCTGTCGGAGCAGTGAAAACAAGCCTTGGCAATATGACCTCATTGATGGAAGTTGCAGCACTGGGCTGAATGAAAACTGCATGCACGCCCAGTTTCCCGCCGGTCGATAAGACCTGCCTCCCACTGCATGGCACGGCATCTTTCTCATATTTTTTTTTAGCCATCTCGGCCACAATCCCTTCGACTTTGATTCTTGCTCTCACAAGGAGCTGCCAACGAACAGTTGTATTCCGGAGGCCGCAGACTATTCAATCTCTTAGCATCCGGTCAAGTATGGCGCCGAAATTGCATGTTTCTGCTATTTGACGAATGGCCATGACCAAGTCCTTCGCAAGTTCTCTCGCCAACTGGTTGTGCGTGAAGAACTTGTAGGACTTGGCAATTTCAATTTGAGTTTTGGCAAAAAATGCTGTTCCAAAAGAGCAATAACCACAATGTAAGGAAGTTCATTCACCTTGGTTCGGGCACTGCGTCCGCAAATGACGACCACGGTATTGGTGCTCAGCACTGCAACGAGCGAAGCATGCTTCTTCTCATCCGTGACACCATTGTCTTTGAAGAAAGCCTCTAGCTGTACTTGGTAGGCTGGCCATTTGTTGACCTCTTCGTCGAACTCTGGTGGCCTCGTGTAGCTGGCCATTACTACTGTGAATGACTGGGGGACCTACAATCCCATCCTCGTTGCCATTGTTACAATGACGCTGCCGACACAACAAGCAAGCAGTAACGAACAAGATTTTATTTAAGGCATGCCCTTTTATGCCGTAGAGTGAGGGAAGGGGGATGGGAAATGGTTGATTAGAACTGAGAAAACATTATAACGCTTCCGATGACATCAGAGACATTCGTAGCAGTTGTCTCGCCGTTTGTGGTTATTGTCTCTCGGAGTTTTGTTCACTCTATGTACACAGACTGATGCTGCAGTCGTGCAGAGGTTGTCGGATGTTGTAGAAAACAAAACGTGGTGAAGACTGCAGTGCAGACGACGACACGTGCACCTTGCACACGCCTGCCCCAACAGACCCATCTTGATCTCGGCCGTCATCGTGTAGAGGATCACATGATCGTTGTACCGCATGGTAATTGTTTTTGGTGGCGCGAGGCCAATGTGTCCTGATGGAGCCAAAGTTTCTGTTTTGGTTTCTCCTTGTGTTTAAAGTAAGATTTCACAAAAGATATCTAATTTTTTTGCAAAGCAAATTACATATAGTTCCTTTCATTAGTGCTTTTTAATGTGAAATCACTCAACTTTGAAATTTTTGAAATTGAGTGAAGTTGCCCTTTAACTAGCACACCTAAATTTGCACATTTGTACCTAATATTTCTAAAATAACACTATTTTCAACCGTGTGCGCATGCCAACCAGACGTTTGGTACTGCCCAATGTATGGAGAGCCAACACAGCGGGGTGAGAGGAGAGGGGGCATTTCCCTCTCCGCTCTTTTTAGTGGAATGGTCATACAACAACATTCTTTAGTTTGCCAGCCAAGCATCACAGATGCAAAAACATCCACAGGTTCGGAACACAAGTACACACAAAAGACCTGACATACCTCCTAGAACTAGTCATCCTCCAAAAAGGTGGACACATTTGCTTTCTCTGCTCTAATTACTGCAGCAAAAAAAAAACTTTTTAAAGTCCCCAAAGTTTTTTTGGAGGATGACTTGTTCAGGGAGGTATGACAGGTCTTTTGCATGTGCCTGGCTTGTGAACCGTGCTTTTTGTGCATGTGGTGGTTGGTTGTCGATTCTGAGAATTTTTTTATAAATGGAACAAAAAAACAATTGAGCTGAGTTTGAGACACTGGCTTCCTTTCTCTTCCACTTTGTATTCCTCGCGTTCTCCACCCAGTCCCGGGAGGTTTAAGGAAACGGTGTTTTTTGAAAGCATTCTTGCACCACCGCATTAAACATTACTATTTATTGAATTGAAGTGCACGTCGGAAAACAAGGTGGCGCAAATAAAAACATAGCATCTGAACATTCCTTCTTGGTAGGAGCCCTCGCATACTCTCGACGTTGGGTCCTTGTAGGCTGGCCAGCTTGATAGAATGGGCGCTTGTAGGCACACTGCAGCAATGCTTCCATCATAAGTTGTAGGTCACCCATGTGCAAAGAATGTAACCTCACAGGCATGGGCTGTCCGCGTGCATGCTGTCATCAAGATACTCTGAGGCTCTGCCGTTCCTGGTGTGGGAGTTTTTCGCTTGAGTTAACGCAGAATCTCTTGGCAGCCGATTTTCATGGAGATCTGTAACGTCTTACTGTAACGGTCTAATGTAACATCAGACTTACGATAAACTGTTTGACCGCGTCCAAGTATGATACGGGGTGCAGGTCAACGATTTTTTTGGGGGGGGAGAAAGTCTAGTACGGCGTGGCAGGGGCCACTGCTACATTTATCCCTTTTATTTGTTTATTTTTTTGATGGAAAGAAGGAACTCTTTCGCGACTAGCGCAGTCCGGACAGAAAAGAAAACAGCAGCTGCAGTGCCACCTGGAATCGGGACATATGCTTATTTTAGTTTGAATACAGCTGCGATATCCTCTTAATCACAGTTAGCGGGAACCCGGGAGCGCGTGGCATTGGGTACTGTCGGAGCTAACGACCCAGCACTCAACTGCAGCACATCCACAGTGCTGCAGTCACAATTGCGCGCCTGCCCATTAAGTGCTCCGATAGTGCCTAAGGCCGTGCGCTTTTGTGTTCCCGCTGTGATTAAGATAGTACTGTTCAGCAGCAGAGTGCACAAATAAAAAATCCTATATGTCGCCGCACAGAAATACTCACAGGCGTGAAAATGCTGTTTAATAAAGAGCAAAATAAAAGATGCTATAGCACAATAACAGCTCGGAATGTATCGCAGTTGTTGCAATATTTCCAATCACTGTTGCTCCTGTCTTTCCTGTCACTCCATTCGATATAGCCATCATAAAAATAGACAGGCTTGTGGAGCCCTCAGCATTCAGCGTCCTTGAACAAAGCATACCCGTGTTCTTTGTTGTGGATGTGTATTTTTAATATCTTTTTTTTTTATGTAACAGGCTAGGGTGGGCGGTCATTGCCACAACTTTTTGTAGGTGATTAATGCTTTGGAATTTTTGGCGGGGCCGATAAATAAATTGCTTATCAACGGGCATAATACAATCGAACCCGATTATATTGAACCCGTGTATTTCAAGATATTGTCTATTTGGAACAGTTGAAACATACCCTCGGAAGTTCCTCGTAAAAGTATAGGAACCTCTTGCATCTCTATCGAACTTTACCATGCTGGACATATAATACATCGAACCATGCGCCATGCCTTGGTAGGGAGGCTTTTCCCAATCACTGCCATTGCTCCCTACCCATGACCACAACCCTAGCCATGACCAGCGAAAGGCGCAAAGAGGCAGAAGAGAACAATGCTCCACCTCAACTCCTTAGCCCACAATAAAAGAAGTCCTTGGCTCGTCCAGTGTATTCACAAGAGTTCTGGAATCGCTTCATGAATGCCTCGTTTATATTCAGTCACCTTTTTTTCTGCATAATTTTTGCTTTGCCGTTCTTTTTTTTTTTCTGTCATTTTACGTCAGTTTTTTTTTTTTTTTTTGCTTGCTTGTTTGACTTTTTTTCCTGTGGATGAAGAGAGTTCTTTTTTTTTTATGAGTCACACTCTTTCGGTGTGATTTTTTTTTTTTTTTTTTATTATTATTTTTGTGTGCAGCCACACATTATTCTGATTTTGCCCATGCGAAACCACGGTGAGGTGTGCTGCTGCTCATGTTTACGGTATTTTACGGTTCTTGGATATTTGCTATGCTTTCGTTTGTCATGTTTTTGGTGTTAGCAGAGACGCACGGAGATTCCAACTGGAGCTTAGGTTAACATACTTCAATGTCTTGAAGCATCGATGTATCAAACTATTTTACGGTCCCCTTTGAATTCAGTATGTCTGGGTTTGACCATGTCCACACACTTTCTGGAAGCAAAGTTTTGGAGGTTGCTGTTTCATCGACATATTAAGGTAACTGAAACGGGTGACTGCTGTGTGACGGTAGCACATCGTCGAGATCCGCTTAATTGCACGTTTGAGAACTTTATCTCGAGGAACTCCTATCTTTTTGGACTGACAGTCGAGAAACGTGTCCCGGTTTCGGCATTGACGCCACGAAGCAGCGAAGAAGCCTGCAGGAGAATGCCGCATTTGGCTCAAAATTATGATCGGTTGGTGGATCAGGTTCGCTCAAATACTGTTTTAAACTAGAGCTTCACTTTTGAGTCGAGCTGGGGGAACCTTGGAAGGGGCAATTTGGGGAAGCCAGTTTGAGATTCCACGCGCCTGCCTCTCTCACAAAGGGTTACATTTTGCAGTGAACGATCTGCCGACCGAGAAGAGCCTGAACGTGTCTCCCGAGAGAATCGCGCACAAGCGACGAGGTAGGTGTTTTTTCTCGGTGGTCCTCATTTTTATCTCGTGGATCGACACATTTTTTCTGCGAGGATGAGTTGTACCGAGCAGTTTCTTTGTAATGCGTACTGCAGCTTGCATTAGTATCATTACTCTGCCTAAGCTCTGCGTGCGTCTTCCGAATACTTGGTTGGATTTGATTCAAGGCAAATCTTCGCTTCTCAAAAACGGTGATGGATGAAAACAAACTCGTCCGTCGCTCCGTTACATTGCTCGCGTACCGAGAGTCTTGCAACGTATCGTGGGTATGGCCACGGTGCCCGCAACTCGTCTCGAACCAGCGTGTTCCCCGCGCCTAAAAATGTGGTCCCTCGATTTCCGCCCCATGACGTCGCAAAAGTGTCGTGCCGTTGCCGGCCGCGATCCGGCGTTGTTGCAGCAGCGGTGGTAGATGTGGCAGACGCCCGCTCTGCTGTAGGTCGCTCTCCAGCTGTTCACGGAAGCTTTGGCGGCCAGGTGTTGGGGCACTCGCATTCTTTCGTGCTCCTCCTACGCCTTCTCGGAATGTCCTTTGCCGCACAGCAGTGATCTTGTTTGCAGGGATCGTGCAGTTTTGTTGCGTAGTGCCTCGTAGGTCTGCCGAACGCAACAATCCGAGGCGTCGCGCATTTCCAAAATCGGTGTCGTCCTGTGCAGCGGAGGCAAAATATATATGGGTGGTCGGACATGGTAGAGACGGGCAGTCGGCCAGGCTGGTGGGGGCCAAAAGCACTGCCGCCTACCGTGAGTGCCGACAGGCAGATGCTGAATGCATAATTGGGAGACGTGTTCCAGGCACCGTAGTTTAGCTCCCAGTCTGTAAGCGTACCGCATCCGTCCGCAGTCTTCACGAAGCAGCGTCGGGACGTGGAGCTTCTGGACGGCGAGCTGCGTCCGGTGGGGAAGACTGCCCCCGTAGGCCTAGGACTCCTGGTGAGCACGGACCACGTCACAGTTGGAATCCTTCGACTGCTGCCCAGTGCAGTCAAGGGCTACTCCGAGACCCGGGATCACGACACGGTGCGGGCACGGCATATTCTTCTTGGCTTTGTAACGCCGCATCTGTTTTTGGCTTGCTCCCAGCAACTTTGTGTAATTTCCTTCTCAAAATTGCTGGCTGGATGTGGGCTCTTCTGGAAGTTTATTCACTGGCTTTGTTTTTAACGAGGTCGTTCTATCAGATCCAATAGGGAAAAATAAATGCCGTTTTTTAACCCACATAAAAAAGCTATGCGTCGTAGGTAGCCGGAAATCCATGCAAATGTGGTGTTAGCAACGGTGGAAACATGCTAAAGTGAGAATGCAATGTTAACTGGATCAAAGGATGGAAGAACGACTACAGTGTAGACCGCATATAACGTATGTCGCGGGAGTCGCTAAAATCCGCACTATAAGCAGTACCGCGCTATAACCAAAACATCAATTTTTCAGGCCAAAATACATGGCATGAGACAACTTACCTTTGTAAAACAATTTATTTTATGTTAGATGAAAAATAAAGGTTAGTTTGAGGAAAGTTTTTATTTCACCAGGCTTGTACACTTCTCTCTCAAGTGTGTCACGCATTTTGAAAGAAATGAGCGACTTTTGCCTGGCGCAGTCTCGCGGGTTGCGGACGGACGTTGCGAGCGGTCAGGATTGCTAACCCTAATCACTTTTCTCTGGCGATGAAAACGCGTGAAAATTCGCATCCTTTGTACAATACGCGCCAGTAATACCTTAAACTTAAGCACAGGCATGAGATGCTCCAAATAAGAAATCCGGGCGATGTTCGAAAACACAAATGCTTAGAAAGCACCACTGTAGTCAAAGTAAACAAACACGACGACACGGGCGTTTCTGCCGTCTTGAGAGTGCCGCCACAACATCGCCGCACGAGTAGGTAAATCTTCCCTTCTAGTACGTGCTGGGTTATCATAGCGACACACGACGAAAATTCACAGTCAAGGATAGCGCTTTTACGCGGAACGATGAGCTTCTACCAAAACCGACGCCATGTTTGCGGATAGAAGCAGCTGGCCCGCGACCGGCATGCAACGCACGCGAACACTTCTCCTCGACCTGCGATTGGTCTGTCGTTGCGGTTGTTTCCAATGCAGCGGAGGTATGCACGCGAACGACACATGCGTGCGTCCCTCCGTCGCTATGGCAACTGAAGCCTCTCTCTTCGCTTCTTCGAGCAACCTCCTTGCCCCGCGAGTGCCGTTTGCGGCTTGCGCCGGCTCGCGCCGTTGCCGAGTGTCGCACAGGGAAGCATGCTCGCTGCGTTGGCGCGGTCGGCGGTCTGTTCCGAAAACCGCACTATAACCGGTATTTCCCTTCGCGTGCCTGCATTTTAAGTGGTATGAAATTACATGGAGTTCTATGGGAGGCGAACCGGTGGTTTAAAAAAGCCGCGTTATACCCGGTCCTGCACTATAAGCAGTTACGTTGTAAGTGGTCTATACTGTTGTCCCGCAATATACTTTACTAGTATGAATTAGATAGTGCAAAATGACAAAGAAAATTTGAAGAAGGAGGCAGAACAGAGGCACTACTATGGTCAGTTACAAGTTAAGAAAACTTTTCGAGGGAAAGGAAGGCTGGGGAGGAGGAAGCAGACAAAATGCTGGAGAGAGGAGGGAGTTTCCTTCTCTCCAGCATTTCATTTGCTTCCTCCTCCCCAGCCTTCCTTTCCCTCAAAAAATTTTCTTAACTTGTAACTGACATATTAACTGACATTTAGTAATACTATAAGAAGAGAAAGATTACAAAATATTAATGGTGGAAGCAAGTTTGTACAAACCACACGGGTGATTATCTATGAATACGGACAGTTTTCCGGCTCCCCGCGAAATTTAGCGGGGAACCTGAATTGGTGCATAGGTCACGTCATAGAGTTATTATAATGTACGCTAGAGGTTCAACTGGCACTAGTGTCTATGCGACTTCCGTGACACAGATTGAAGCAGACAGCAACCAGTCTACTTTTGCGGTGCTCGTGTGCATTCCTATGGGAAAATGCACGTGCATTTTGTCTCTTTGCCAGAAAATGACACGGTACACTTGGGTTATTTTAGTCGTACCGAAAAGTATGTACCTTGATTAACACTGTAAAAGTGTAATTGCTTTAGTTAGTGCATTTTTCTTTATAGGTAAATGATGTTTAACTTTGCTACATTTCAATCCCAAACGTGTTCCGCGGCAGGTGTGTAAAAACAAGCGACTATTCAAAGCAAAATAACAATCGAAAGGAATATAGAGTGTTCAAGGCTCGCCAGCATTCCGGTCACGCTTATATATTGATAATATGTCAGTCCTGTCACTATATAAAAATGACCCCGTCGTGCATGAGCGGATAAAAACATTTAAATAAAGAATAAAGTATGTTGGCTATGAAATGTGTCTCTTCGTATCGTTTTCTCTGCCAGTCAGCTTTTGTCGGGCACTTGTTCTCAAAGTTTTTGAGGGTGCGGGTGATATTTTGAATGTAGAACAAACATCTTCTTTCAGAGCAGAAAGAATAAAGCGTTAGTTACTTATATTTAAATACATAATAGATTTCGTGGCCTTCAATTTATTTTGATCGTACATGCGCGGGTAGTTACTGATCCAGTGTTACTGTGTAGTTCTAGTCGTCTCCCTTCATTTACAGATGTTCTTCGTTCATTTGGCACGTACTATATCCCTCATGCTGAAAAGCGCCGACGTCGTGTTCGCGTTAACAGTGTCCGACAGTGCACATAAATACACTTAGGAAGCCGTTTTAGCACCGTTTTTAATGCGATGATTTTGAAAGAAAAACGCTGTAATTGACCAATTACTTCGTCGGCCTGACTGAGAAATGTTCCAAGCTACCTAGTACGTACGAATTATTTGAGATATTTGCTCTTATGATCAAGCGCAGTTAGAAAATGCACTTAATTTTTTTGCATAGAAATACATTACCGGAAGTCAATTTTGGACTGGTTGCTGTCTGCTTCAATTTGCATCAGCACACTGGCGCCACTTGAACCTCTAGCGTACATTATAATAACTCTATGGGTCATGTGACGTCATTTTTATGCTAAATTTAGCAGGGAACCTGAATTGATTCATAGGTCACCTGTAGTAGTCACTTTTTCGCTAAATTTAGTGGAAAATTGACTACTTTAGGGGCGACAAACATAGAAATCTGTGGTGAGTAGCCTAATAATGCTACCGCATTGAAAGACGTGATGACTGCTACCTATCAAAAAAGAAAAAGGAAATTGAAACCTCAGCTACGCCTGTGGTAAGTCCATTTTACATTTTACATTATTATAGAAGAAAATCTCTTGAGCTACATAGCTAACTGCAATATAGAAAAATCTAAAATAATTTTCGGCAACGAAGTTGTTGAACCCTTTGACAGTAACTATGAAAGAAAAAAAAAAAATGAAGAAAGAAGATCCGTAAAAAAATTAGCTAATGATTGTAACTAGCCCACCAGATGATCTTGGTACTTTACTAAGCGTGATATTTGCCAAACCAAAAAATTTCGCTATGGGCACCCATGAAATTGGTTTTCAGGAAAACAAATTGTTCCACAAGCAGGAAAGCAAGATTTTTTTTCTTGCCGACATGTTTGTTTCCCGAAGGAAACAAACGTGTTCAGATGCCTTTTTTTGCCTAATTTGCAGAACTGCCAAGCTTAGGAAATGTTAATAGTGAGTGCTTGAATGAAATTGGCACTTCTGTGGTATTTTACGGTAGTCGGTATCGCCCGTGCCTACTGTCCATTCTGCCCCGAGTTGGGCTGTGAACGAGGCGCATAGCTTCTCCAACAGTGCGAGGTTATATCAGATTAGTTTATCGGTGCCCGGAATTTCATCAGACTTTTGTCTTCCTCGCATTTCAGATACTCCTTACAACGGACAACAGCGTAGTAGTGGAAAGAAGGGGTTCTTGGGAGGTGCTCTCGAGAAACAGCTCCTCCTACATCTGTCGGGGTGAGTCATCTCTTTCGTCCAAGCAAGGTTTAAACGCTCGTGCCTCCTTTAGTTGCTGGCACTGAGCGTCCAGGCTACAATGATTTGTGTCTAATTTGGGGAGTTTCTCCTTTTCTCGTGGCATGTGGAAGTGTGGCCCACTGCAGTGCTGGGTCTCTGCGGTGCTTTCTGCTGTTGCGGGTGCGTTGCCTGCTGAACCACACCTGTACTCACACTCCCACAAGACAAGAGTGTACGCGTCTCTGTACCACATTACAACCGACGCTAGAGTTGTGACAATGTAATTGCTGCATCATCAGGCTTTGTCCTCTGCATTCTGCCTCGTTTTGTAGAAATAGAAGTAATTTCTGCCAAAAGATAATTTCTCTCTCAGAGTGAAACTCTGGCCAAATTTCTATGGCTGAGGCAAGGTCTCCTCAACCCCTTGACCTCGGAGAACCGCTATCTCTTGACCATTAGCTTCCTGGCATGTGCAACAATGCACACACCAGGAAGTGCTTGGCTCATGTATCAATGAGTGACTCGAACCTGCCATAATCGTGCTGAAAAAAAACGCTTTAGTTTGGGGCGGGGACGTGCGAGGATATTTGGGAGTTTGGGGAACCTGTGATTGTACTCTCGGTACCCCCTGGGCACCCAAGCGAGAGTACCCATGGGTACCCGAGAGGGTACTCAGGAAACCATGGCTTGAAAATCCATGGGTTATGATATGTGCATGTGTTTGAGACTCGGATACTGGTTAAAATAAATCGATAAAGTTTTATTTTTTGGCTCGCTTCAAGGTAGCCTTGTTGAGTGCACTTGGGATGCTGGCATGAGGCAACGAAATATACGAGACAAGGCATGCACAGAAGGGCATCCTGGCTTCCCAAAAGATTTTAGTCTCTCTGGGCTTTTATTTTCGGTGGGAATACCCGTAGGATGGAAAGGACACAGGCACAGCACCCGACACAGCTCGAGGCTGAGGAGAACACAACCAGCAGATCAGGTTACGACTGGTTGTCATCGACTTCACCATATTGCTGTTGTGTGGAACTTTTCTTGTTTGATGAATGAAAAAAATACTGGCCGCTCTTAAATGCAACCGTTTCCTAATGATAATGGACTATACGCCAATCCAGCTTTCGCTGTAGCGCGTCGACGTGCCGCTTTGCATGCGCCTTTGTCCGATCAGTTGCTCGCTCGAGGAAATCAGGGGACGTACGTTTGGAAACAACTGAGGCTATGAAGGACGCCCCAGCGAAGCGCCTCTGTTGAATTTCAAGTCTGCAGACCAGGGATCGATTGACGCACCGGTTACCTCGAGGCAACCTATGGAATTGCACCTGGGAGAGGCTGTGTGCGGAAGTGGAGGAAAAAGGAACGAGGCCGAGGCTGCCTCAAAACGATCATTCGGCTCTTTCGGAGCGAGTCATTGGGGGAGCGATAGGCTAAGTGAAACTCCAGTGCTGTAGTTTTCACTCCCCTCCACGCATTGATATTTTGTGCTACTTACAACGGGGGTAAACTTTGTTCTAAGTTGGTCTAAATTTTGAACTTTGCGTGGTTTGATACTCGTCGAATTTCTTTGTGTACAACATAGGCATAGACTTCGGAGGGGCATCGAGCTCGTGCCCCCCCTGGTGAGATCCAGGGGGGGGGGGGGGGTAGAGCCCTTCTTCCCTGCGCCCGGGCCATAATCCTTACCGAGACGCTGTTTACGTGCTATGTGACGAGCTTCTAGTAGTGGCATGTAAACAAAATAACGCTCTCGTTGCCTTTATTGACAAAATACATGGGAAATGGAATCCCAGCGTGCTTTCGTTAGCTTCAATCTCCAGTTCTGGCGAAAAGGTAACGTGCAGCACCCCTTCCCCCCCCCCCTTTTGAAGAACTTCTCAACCTGCCCCCCCCCCCCCGGGAAAATGGAAAGTCTACGCCGCTGGTGTAGAAGTTGGAAAAAAAGCTTCATTGCTTAGTATCGAAAATTGGAAAATCTCAAAATTTTTTTATGTAACAAGTTTGACATTTTTAAATGTTTTTGGGCCTTTCAAACTGCTTGGTTCAATCTTAGACCCGAGGTTCGAAAGAAGTTTGCGGCACCTCTAGCGACAACACTGGGCAAAGCTTCCACCTGTTGTTTTCCTGCCTCTCTGTTGGTTAAGTGCACCGAGACACCTTCTCATGAATGAAGCATTGTTTCAATGCACACAGAAGAGACGTACACAATTGCGGGTGTCTGCTAGCATGAGGACGGCCGCATCTTGTGTGGTTCTTTTGTTGGTCTTGCGTATTCCCCTGTGTTTCACACGTGCAGCGTGCCGTTTCCTCTCCCAGGAATGCCCTACTCCATCCGGAACATCTCGCCTGCACCGGCCGAGGTCTACATCATTTTGGTGACTCCCTGCTGACTGCCCCCCTCACCCATCAACTCATTTCTTCATTTTATTCTCATCAGCACTCACCCTATTTTATTCCTATCCAATCAGTCTAGACTGAACATGAATTGCAGTTGCAATTTTAATGCATTCTTTTAACAATTTTAGGCCTTAATTTTACGCTTACCTGGACAGAGGTTGCAATTCATGTGCAAACTGTTTTTTTTTTTTTTATTTCACTTTTCGTTCAAGCGCCCATTTCGTTCAAGCACCCACTATGAACGTGTTCCAAACCTGGGAATTCTGCAAGTTATACGCCGAGCGCTCAATTTGACCAGAACAAGCGCCCATGTCTAGATTGACCCAGTTTTCAGTGAAGTGGAGTGGGTGCTCCCCCGGTATTTCATGTTAATGCTTTTATAAAAATGTGTTCATAAACATTTGTTTTTATAAACATTCATCATTTTATCAACATGTCTTCATAAACACTAAATGTCCAGGTTTTTATATACATGTTTTCATAAACATGAAACATCCATTTTTATAAAAATTTGTCTTTTGAACATAAAGCATACATCCTTTTATGAAAATGTTTGCATAAACATTTGTTTTTATTGCCTGATCTTTTGTACATAGCATTGACCTGACGGGAGATTTTGTGTGAAACTCGTACAATCAATGAGTTTTTAGTTTAAGTTACTATATGAGCCAACAGAAAACTGACAAATGTGCTGCTATTGTATCTCCAGATCATATTCTTGACTACACCCACTTGCACAAAGAAGTTGTGTAAAGCTTGCTTGTAGTGTCAGTGGATGTAATCTACTGAATGTAATCTACCGAACGAAGCATGTATTCTCTTTGGGATTAGTCTTCTGTAATCATTGGCAAGGATACACAGCACATGGCTGCAATGTAATTCACTTTTGGATTTTACATGCCCGTACTAAAGTTTTTATCTTTGTATAACTGTTTCTATGTTTTGAATAAATCATTGCTCACTTTTTTTGAGACTACTCACTGACATTTTATAGGACTGTGAAAGGAATGGATTAACCTGCCAGTGCTTCGAGTAATAACAACCAATCTCTTACGACAGTACTTTCATATGAAATCGAACATGCATGTCAAAGTATGTATATTGACTTGGGAAAAAAAATTGATTGGTTTTTGAGCTATAGCTTGCGATTGTACTAACCTTGATGTGTTTTGTTGAAATTGCCATCCTGCACGTGCAATTCGGAAATCAACCAGTTTCAGATATCTTGCTGGCACAAATTTCCATGATTCGTGGCGTACTGGTCGTTACCATGGGGTAAATTATTTGTGGGACAAACTGGTTGCGATTATTTTCAGATAGCAAAATTGGCAGAGCAATGGTCTTCATGAAAACCAAGTTGTTTACAGTATACTCCGTTCCATGTAACTTTGCAGATGCCAAAAGTTACAGCTCCTGCGACCTAATGTGAGCTGTTAGCTCGGGTAAAAAAAAACATTGGGTCTAATTTGTTATTGACAGTTAGAACCAATGGGGAATACTATCTGTGATTTCAGACTTCTAGTTAGAAAAAGTAATTGGTTCCAATCGTCGAAATCTAATTCAACATTGCCAATTGAGCTCTGCCCATAGAATCGACCCAATTAGGCACTGTCAATTGGGCGCAACCAATTGGGAAAATCGATTTGTGTTTTCGAACTCCCAGTTGGGAGAAAAAGCAATTGGTCCCAGCCTCGGTGGAAGAAATACATTTAAGTGATGACCCTGGGTGCTCTTCTTGCGGGGGGCGAGCAGCCAGATCGTGTTCGGAGCAAGCCTCGAACCAATAGTAATTTCCGTGCCGCCGCAAAGGGTGCTGAGGTATGAGCATCGTGGGTATGAGGTCCCTCCTAGGCAACCATGGCGTCAGCGGCATAGTGTTCTCGCCTTTTTCACGGTGTGGTGGTGGTGTGCGGCCAGTGGCTGCTATCGTGTTTTGCTTTGGTGCTGTGTCAATCACAGGTGCCACCATTGTGCATGAAGATGAGCCTTAATTCAAAGAAAGAGAAGGGAGAGAACACAGATTTATGGACTCTGGCACCGTGCTGGCGGCGTGGCGGCGGTGAAATACAACAAGAAGCGGTGAGCGAGGGAATGCGGAACCACCGCTGGGAGAAACAACCAGAGCCGTCGGTTTGGGAGGAATCCCATACTTGGGTGCCATCTATCCCTTGCGAGTGGAGCGCACTTGGTGTACCGAACATAATGTGGCCGTTGTGTTGGACAGAGAGTCATCACCTAAATGTGTTTCTTCCACCGTAGGTACAACAAGAAGCTGTGAGCGAGGGAATGCAGGACCACTGCTGGGGAAACAACCGGAGTGGTCGGTTTGGGAGGGATGCCATACTTGGGCGTCATCTATCCCCGTGCGAGTGAAGCGCTCGGTGCACCGAACATAATGTGGTCGCTGCGTCGGACAGAGTCATCACCTAGATGTTTCTTCCACCGTGGTCCCAACTATGCAAATCTAATTGAAAGGTACCAATTCGGACAACTACTTAGTGTCTGGATATCCGAAACTGAAAAAAGTTGCACAACATTTTTTATTTAACTCATCAGAGATGATTTCTTACTCTCAGGCATCGTCGTCTCCCATGATTGCAGTTGCAGCTTCCCTAAAACAAAGGTTAAATATGTGTTAAATATGTGTTATGGGGCTATAAATGTTCAAATCGAAACGTCGTCTCCCACGATTGCAGTTGCAGCTTCCCTAAAACAAAGGTCAAAGACTTTATGGGGCTATAAATGTTCAAATCGAGCTTGGAAACATATTAAAAAGAAAACATTTTTGGTGCAAATAAATTAGTTTCAATGGTGAAAACCTGCAGGCATTGCATTAAAAACTGCAGAGATTAGTATTGTGGCAAAAACCTGCAGAGTCTTGCATTAAAAAGCAAACCTCCCTAGGTGACTGATTGCCCAGATCGGCTAAGATTGCACGTGGGATGCTTTAAAGGGGCACTAAAGTACTTCTTGAAATCGTCGTTCTATGGTCATAACCCAGTCTACAAGCTCTAAGCATCCTAAACAACCCAAAAGTGCATTCATGCACGGCCGATTTGCGTATTAAAGAAAGTGGTAAAAGTTTCCGACACTTGCCGTTGATGCAGAACGACAGATGGCGCTACCAAACTTTGGGTGGGTGCAACTCAAATCCTGGAAAGCCTTTGCAATTTAATGGCTGCACCTGAGGGAGAGGATTGGGAAAGGATGGGAACCAATGTTGCCTGTACGAGAGCAGACGCCCGCTTTGTTGCCCCATGTACCTTTCTTCCTCTCGCATCCCATTGCAAGCAACAAACGCCTTGGCATAACCTTTCTCGCTAGCAGCATCGTCAGACAAGCAGCAACGTCCAAGATGGCAGAATTTACCATTTTTCGCATTATACAAATACTTAACCTATCGGAACAAAACTGGTGACTATAGGAAAGTACTCTTTTATGCCTTGCGTAAATTATTCAAGCATATGAATCGGCTTTTATGACGTGAGTCAGGAAATAAAACGACCCTTTCCCCGTGGACTCCCAGCAAAATTTAGCAATAGGCCACACTTCCTCCGACGCCCGTCGGACGACTGAGGTTTGTGTGCAAATCACTCCTCCGACGCCGGAAGTGACGAAACAAAAGTGATGGTGCTGCAGGTACGTTAGTTAAATTTTTAGCTGGGTCCACTTGGACTCTAAAACTACAACTGGGAAATGCTGGTTCCAGTTGATAACAAATGCCGAACTGGGAATCAACTTGAAGCGAAGAATTGTAACTGGGATTTATTTAACTCAATTTGTAATCATACATATTCTTTTACATATTGTGCATTTGTTTTTTGTGTTCGCTTTTATGTCTGGACTGCACTTGCATATACGAGGCACCTAAGAGCCAGATTTAGTATTTTCTTCCCAGGCTGATATTTCTGTAGGTGTTAACACTTGTGCCTTCGATCGAACCGAGCAGTGCCGAAAAAAGGTGTGACCACCACATGACTCACTCGCGGTTAAAGCTCACCGGGTCACTCGGTCACATATGCTGTGTGGCCCTAGTCTCTGCAGTAGAATGCATAGAGTGTAATCACAGGAGAAAGTGATGGTTGACTCATTCAGTGAGCACGTCGCCCTCACCGTCCTGTAAGTCTATTAAGTAGCAGCGTATACTCTCTCCTGCCCCAAAATCCTAATGTGCTGCCCCACTTTACATTTCTGCATTTAGTTAGACTGAACCGACTGTTTAGTTGCATATACCTAGAAATATATGCTAAAATCTTTTTTTTTTTTTAACCTGAGGTTCAAAACTCAAACCTGGGTTTCAAAACATCTGGAAAATTTCCAAACTGTTTGAACTTCTTATATTGAGAAATTCTATCATTTTCGAACTTCAACAATTTCCGGACTTTCAAACCTGGTAAGTTCTAAAGTTTGGAAAAATTTTAACCATTGAAGATGCTTAGAATATATGTCTTATTTCTCTGAATTATACCTCAATTATACCTCCTCTACCTGTTTTGAATGAATTGCTAACTGTTGCACATATTGATTTCCGCATTCATACTGTCCATATTTGTCTAGCATCAAAGCAGCCAAGTAATCTCAGTATAATCGCTGTCACTAAGACTCCCAAGCTGCAATTTAAATGCCAGGTCACAAAGCCAGTGATTTAATGGTAGCAGTGGTACTAATGACTCTGTAGCGCACAAGGAAACGGGGTGCAGGGGAGAAAGAAGAGGTGGTACGCGGGCAAGAAGGCTCCAGAGGAACACACCGACGGGACAACTGAGCGATGTATACTGATGTAAATATTTTCATCAGTATACATCGCAGCCTTCTTGAAAGCATGAGGAAAGGCCAAGATTTCCACCATATTACCCTTATCCTGCCTTGCGGCTTCCTAAAAATTTACACTTTTGCCTGCGGCTCTTCAGCAATGTCAGTTTGGCTTCCCCTGATCTAGGCCGACCACCTATTGGTTGACCACCTGTTGCACAACCTTTTGTGGAAACATTCGTTGATTGACCAGTTACTGCACATGTCTAAAATTCTCGGGTTCATTAATTTTCAGATTGTGTTAGAGTGTCCTAATAAAATTTTCCAAACGCCTTGATGCTGACCACAATGATTGCATTTTGAAGACAGACTTGCACACAGAGAGGCAAAGGATTTTTGCTATAATTCAGATTAATTATGTCAAAACTCAGAAGCTTCCAATAACGAAATCAGCAGGAAACCCTGCATGAGTCTTACAAACATTAAGGAAACTAAATCTCAAGAAAAATTTTCTGGAGTATTTCGAAAAATTGTCTCGAGTCATGTGCACTTCTCTTTCCTGAGGAATCGCTGGGTGCAGCATTCCCCATAAAGTCTCGTATGGTGACACTTGGTACAAAAACCTTGTATGAATAATTTTTTTTCTGAAACCTTTTTAGTTTCTCTTTGGTCTCCTGACAAGATCCTGATCGTGAGACCCACGGCTAGACTACATTATTTTGCTATACTACCATCTCTTCACTCTACATGATCCTCTCAGCTAAGCAGCCTTGGATGTCTGCACTAAATATTTTGTTTCATTTCTGTGCTTATTCTTCCATCTCCTTTACCTGTGTCCCCCCCATATATTGGTAGATCCTTTCTTTTTACCTTCCCTCCACAATCTTTCATTTATTAATCCTATTTTACACATAGACCACCATCTCTTTCTCTCGCTAAAATTTGCTGATGCGACCTTAAGTTTTGTATGATTCTTCAGAAATAATTGATGTATGAAAAGGCAAAGCCTATGTTTTAGTCAAGCTGGAGTCCTATGCGAGCTAGGTTAGCCTATGTGTCTATGCAAGGAAATAATTGATTGAACTAATGAGTGACGGGATAGCTGGAGATGGACTTCCTGAATGTAATTACTGTTTCATAGGTTAGATGGTACTGAATTATAGAGAGATACCTTCTTTAATAAATGAACTGTCTAAGTGTAGGAACTATTACAG